TTGAAATCCCACAAGCAGTTAATCGTACCTGCTGGGGTCTAATAAGCTTTTAATCCTGACCCCTGGCCTCAGAGTGCCTCCCATCTATGGGTGGACAGGGAAATAACCATTTACATGCACGCAGCGATTCTGCTGAAAAATGGCTGCACAGGCAGCGCATCGCGAGATGCACCTAATTGATGCTGTGCTGCAGCAAACACCAACACAGCCTGCCTGGCTGTGTCACACGGGAAGCTGCAGACACTAAAAAGAGAACAATCTCCTGCCCATTTAAGTGGCAGCTGCTCCAGATGACTGCAGTGCTGCCCAGCAAATTACTGAGCAGGCAGAGGCACAATTCCCTGGACTGCGTGTTAATCACCTGCATCCAGAGGGTGAGCACAGAGAGACCCTGCAGTAATGCGGCGCGGGAGAACGGGCTTTAGGCTGTGGGATAATAAATCTCCCTGCCTGCAGCCTGGCACTGTTTCTTCACCAAAGTTACACCACATTTCAACCGCAAGAACTGCGGGAGGAGGCAAAAAAAAAAAAAAAACTGAAATGAGAAAGCAAGGTCGTGTCAGAAGTCCAAGGCAAAAAGGCAGACTAAACCAGACTCTACTCGGTTAACAGCGGGCATAAATAGATAACAGAGGCCATCTGACAAAAGCACAAAAGCATGAAAACTGCCAAASATTTGAGTGCATCAGATGTTAATGATGATCAAACCTTATACAACATTCTGGAGAAGACAGTGCCTTCACCCAGCATATGTCCATGCTCTGTGTTGAACTGCAATTGTGTCCTCTGAGATACTCAGCGTAAAATTCTGATGTAATTGTAGCAACATTTAAAAGCAGTAAGTACCAATGACTAGTTTCTTGTGCTCCCTACAAATTTGTTCAAGGTCCTCACAGGATTGCTTCAGTTTTGGTGGCCCTTCAGGGAGAATGCTCATGTATCTTAAAATTTGATCAGGATGTGTGTAATTAGTCAATATGGCCTGTTCTACACAGAAGGCAAATCTGTTTTACAGAATCAGTAATCTCTGAGTAAAGATGTGCAGCAGACAGTAGCTGAAGAGAGCTTTGAGCTTTAAAATTATGGCTACTTATTTCAGAGTTGAAGTATAAACCTATTTTCTCTCCCAGATGGTAACAATTCAGATGGAAATAGTTCAGTGATACCAACTAGGAAGCCTCAAAATACACAGCACAATCATTTTGTATGCTAACACTGAATCTGACAGAATGCTCCTGTGCATAGAACTGCTTCTGTCTGTGTTTGGGGTGGTGGTGGCAACACAGAGTRCTTCCTAACCTTGGCTTAGCTAACGAGCCCCAGTCACCCTTCAGTCAATGCACAGTGAAGAGCAGATTCCTTAGTTTTGCCCAAATACWAACTCAATGAGACAGACATAATTCTGCTTTTCGGGGCAAGACTACCTGTGTTTACTTCAATGAACAACCAAAGAGCCCTGTCATCACTGTAAGTTTTCCAGGGACAGTTGAAATGCATCAATCACTGCAGATAAAAACTACCAAACACACAAAAGCCCACAGCTTTTATTTTTTTTTGTTTGTTTGGTTTGGTTTTTTTTTAAAGAAAAAAATCTAATCCTTATGAAATTATTCAAGGGCTGAGACCATTTTGTCAGTACTTGAGACACTCAGTACAGGTGCAGAGTAAGAAGACAGTAAATTCAGTGCTGCACTGCAGCCACCCACTGCAGAAGGGAAGCAGTAACACTCTCAATRGAAGGGAAATAATGACCACCAGTGAATTACTAACAGAGTTTGGATTCTCAGAAGAAAACTGAGTTCAGATTTGTGCARCTGTTTGATCATGTCTGGCAATACCATGACAGAGATGACTGCAGTCTCAAGGGTAAAAACACAGAGCCATGTCCTGCCTGTCTACATCACACCACCTTTCCATTGCAGCACCTTGAATAAGAACATCAGAACCAGGTAAGAGTGCACCATGAATCTGCTGCCAGCTTACTGGGAATATACCAAAATGGGTGTTAAAGCTAGWTGTTTAGTCTTTCAGGAATCACAGTCAGCTTGAAAACCAATGGCAACTAGAAACAAAACCAGCACCCAGAACATTTAAACTGCACACTGTTCAGTCACACAAATCCCCAGCCACAACTCCTGTAGCTTCTTTTGTACAATTGACTTTTTTCTCCTTTATTAAAGGATTCTGATGTAAAACTCAGAGGCACACAAAAATATACACAGGTAACTCATTAAAGACAAGAAGCAGTGCATTGTGCCTGTCACTAATCTGCCAGCGTGCCCATTAGTTACTCAGATGCTGGTCCCCTTAGCATTTTCACATGGCAYGGTATCAATTTGATATTTGGGCACTCATCCCCTTTTACTGGGCTTGTAGCTCATCCACAAGTGATGGGGATGAGCTGGGGGATGTTCATGAGACAGACTGTAGGGCAGCAGAGACCAGCAAGGGATCTTGGCAGCGATGCTGCTCTCTGTCCTCAAGTCAGTTCACCGACCTTTGKGCAACTATGTCTTGAGAAAAGCCAAGTGACAGCAGAGGATAAAACTTTCTTTGACAGCTGGGTTGTGGCTGTACCAGGGACCTTCCTTGGTGATACACCCACCAGGATCAGCCCAGTCTCTGAGATCCTGCTGGCATCCTGTGTCTCTGACCAGAAGTAAAATTAATCATGGCTTTTCCAACCTTGGGATTCTTGTGGGCTTTCTGTTGGCAACCCCAAAGGATCAATCACATGGTTTGAGAGTTTACTGCTATCCATAGCCAATTTTCCCAGTAGAATTAAGGTCAGGCTTTGAAGGAAAAACCATGTTTTCCCAAGGACAGCAACATGAAAGTGCAACTTGGATGCCTTTTGATCTGAGGTCTGCTTTGCTACTTGTGTGAATCTTGGCCAGAACAACAGGTCTTCAGAGTAGATAAATCCTACAATATATATGACAAAGGCTTACCGAATCTAAATATAACACAAGTATTTGTATTATGCTCATAGCCAACCCATGATTTTACAGGCCTTCATATGATTGAATCACACTTGTTCCTGAAGAAGCTCTTTGGGTTTTTTTAATCTTAATGGTTGACATTTTTGTCTGAAAGTTGCTCCTATGAAAACACATGCTCCAGAAGACAATCCCATGGTATCAGGAAAAGTTTTGCATTTCCCCCTTATCCTATTAGTCTGAAATKAACCCTTCAGGTTTCAAAGGACAACAGCCAAGGCCTGGCTTTTGCAGAGAGCCCATGCTCACCAGAGTGCAGCCCAGACACAGAGAATCATAGAAGTGTTTAGCTTGGAAAAGAGCTCTAAAAGCATTGAGTCAAACACAATCCATGTTAGTGACTGGAGACAGTAGAACACCCAAACTGCCTTGCAAAGCCTGTGGCTGCAGTGAAAGAGGCTCAATGTCCAGTTTTCTCCTCCTTGATTATCCCAGATTTCTATGCCCCCAAAACTGGCTGATCAGAATCAGRGAAGAACTGAAGGATTTGCGGAGCAGAAAAAGGAAACTTCACTAATTAATAAATAAAAAGGGAAATCTTGAGATCTACTTCCCCACAGATATTCTCCTGTTTTCCCAAGAGACTTGGTTCTTTCATACAGCACACAGGTTATAGTACTCTCTCCATAGGTAATTCCATCAATAAAGACCCACATAATCTGCTGCCCCATGTGACAGCATCAGTCAGGTCCTGTTCTGGAACAATTACTGCTCAGTGCAGTTCAKGGAAGCCCTCCTCCTCCTCAGGTCCTCACTGAGAATTCTGAAAAGGTGAAGGATGAAGGGGACAGGAAAACATCAAATGGGCTAGGCTGTATTTATGAACYTCAGTAGATGATGGTTTAAAAATGACCAAGTAGGTTTTTCTGGTGCCCAAATGGCACCCATTCTTTTTGCCTTGAAGAARTCTAGCATATTGTTWYCATAATCAAGTTATTTGGATAACAYAACAGCAATTTAGATTAGGATTTGTTTACACAGCTAAATATGTTGAGTAATGAAATTAAAATGAGCTCTCTGCCTCTGTCACATCTGCAATAGTAACTGGCTTCTTACAGTTGAGTACAAGCCTGCTGCACAGATGTTTCTTGATAAGGTATAAATCAGTGTTGGATGCTGTTTATTGCAGCATTTTTACCGCCTTCTTCCCTGAAGGAGGGAATGTTGCCTGCACAGGAACCAGATGCAACCTGCAAGACTGTATGAAATATCATCATAAGCCAAAACAGGTCCCATATTCCATATCAGCATCTGCAATGGCTCATCAAGTATTTATCAGATCATTTGAACACWTCTACAGGCCCTAGCATCATGCCACCGCCAGAATTTACTTATTATAACCTGCAATAAAAAAGGCAAGCAACCTGTTAAGCAACTGGTACCTCTAACAGCAGGAGATCCCATTTTAGTTTGGTTTCCTGCCTCAAAGGGCAAATTTCTGAGCAGACACTGCTGCTAGAAAGCAAGATACTGTAAGAGATCAAGGCAGCTGCTTTTCAGGGCATTGCAGGGAAGAGTCTCTCTCTACTGCCATCCTGCCCCAGTGATATTAATACTTTGATGGTGACAGGGGAGGAGTCTTATCTTGCACTGGTGTCTGTGCAAAGAGAAGTGAGACAAGGGAGGTTGTCTCCCAGTGAAGGTGGYACAGCTTGGAGCACCTCACTAAGCTCTGCTCAGCTCTGTAGGAGCAAGAGGATATTGAGAAACTTGTCAATGACCCAGCATTTGAAGACAGCCAAGCCTGGCCCAAGCCACACTGGCTCCTTCTCTGCAGCTGATGAAAGCAACACCCATGAACTCTGAAGGTAAGAGAGCCAAACTTCACAAGATGTACTTCTTGGAAGGTTCCTTGAAGGAAAATCTGACATTCCAATTATAAAAAAAAAAAAAAAAAAAAAAAAGCAAAAAAAAAAATGGGGGTGGAGTGGGGTGAGGAAAGATGGGTTTTTCTTCCCTGAGCTAATCTGTGTCTCTGATTTGCTTCACTTGTTACATGGACAGAACATCCTGTCAACACAGAAATAATGCCAAGTATTTACAGTTTAATGGAACCCAGGGACCAATTAACAACACAGAAAACCACCAGGCACTGTAATTCTTTTCGTAACAGGAGGGAGATCTTGCATTACTGCTGTTCCCCCATTCCTCAAAATAAAGCTCCAGCATTTTGTCAATGATTTCTSAGTAGTAATGTTTATTACCTGATAGTTTTACCATTGCCCCTTTATCAATCACTTTCTATGCTCAGTCACAAAACCCCTCTCTCTATTTGTTACCTACATCCCCCCGAAAAAAAAAAGAAAAAAAAGGAAGAAAAAAGGAAGGAAAAAAAGCAAAAAGCAACTGTCCTTGGGGCTTCAGAGCAGCGTTGCTAGAACCTGCCCTCCACCCCAAGCTCCCGAACTGCTGACTCCTCAATAGCTTGATGGATGTGATGCACCTCGTCCTGCGTGAGCGTCCTCTCTGGGTGCCGGTAAATGATTCGGTAGCAGTGGCTGACCTTCTTTGTCCTACAAAACACAAACCAAAAGAGGACTCATAAATACATGTGCCTACAAATGCAAATACATGAGAGGCCAAACACTTACCCTCTGGATCATTTTTATTTGCGGTCTAATTTTGCTCCTGTTGCTTGAAAATCACCTTAATGCTAAAATACACAGTCCAGAGAGGCGGGACTGAGATGAATTTTAATTTTGGCAGAGGACTTTGCTGAAGTCCACCTTGTAATGCCTTAATTTGTACTGTGGTGTGGTAGCTTCTTACCAGAGCAAACCACCCCAGGAGGAGGGCTTCTTACCCTGTAGTATGGAAAGTAAAAGACAAAGGAGAACAGGGAACAGGAATATAAAAAAGGGAATGATGGGGGAAAAAGTGTAAGAGTTGCTGGCTAGGCAAAGACAAATTAATGAAAAATCAGGGSAAACCATTTAGTTGAGTAAGAGTGAAAAAAAATCTTCTTGCTCTCCACCAAAAGCAGGCAGAAGCACCTAGCTCTTGCAAGGGCATCTCTCTAATTGCAATGCCCGTGTTACTGAATTTAAATAGCAGTTGCAGCATCCCTTCTAGTTTCAAATGGAGCCCCCACAGCTTCTTCTTTCAAAGGTGGACACTCACTACAGTCAAAGCGAGAAAATTGGAAAGGAAAAATAATGGGAAACAAGACAGTACCAAGCAGAAGAAGCTCCCAGATTGGCAGAACTCTGCATTTAATGACACACAAAGGCAGTCAGCAAGCTTTGGRTCATCTCTCTCCTGAAAATTGTTTCATGTTAGAAATGTGTCTATGTTTATGACTATTTGATTAAACATAAGGTTAGATGTGTGCATCCACAAAGATAACTCTCAAGATACTCATTTCAACCTCAAATCCTACTAGAAACAAGCACAGGTAATTTTTACCTCAGAGCAGCTATTTGGTACCAATTTGGTACCTTGTTGGGTGGAAGTTTGCCCTGCTCCCACTGGCAGTTTACAACAAAAAGGCTACTTCTAATTAAAGCATTCYTCCTCTTTTTTGTGTGCTCTGAAGATAAAGCAATTTAAATCTGGCGAGCACTGGAAAGGGCAARCAGCATTTCATAAAGTGTTAAGCTGACTGCAGTTAACTGCTAAAAGCCAGCCAAGAGCTTTCCCTGTGTGCAGGTTAAATGCTGCAGAAAAGTGATCTTTGGGAAAAGAGGGGGAGGTGAAACTGTGGGGAAGGTGTTGCTCTGCTCCACCTCTTCAAWGCAGCCAAGAGGACAGACCTGGGAGAAGAAAGTGAATGGAATAACAAGGATTTGGTTCGATGCTACATTGCCAGTAAGAAATTTGARTAAGAGAGAGGGATAAGGCATTGGAGCTCAACAATTTTCAAAACCACGCTGCTAAACATCCTTAGAGCCAGTAGTATCTCAATTTTTAAAGGTGCTACAGGAATACACCTGATCAAAAACATTTACAAACTGCTTTGGCTGAAAACCTGTTTGGAAGATGTACAGTCTCAGGCCTAATCCTGAAGTTTTGCAACGATTGGGAACACATTCCATGATGGAAAAATTCATTACCATTATTTAATGTGATGTAAACACARGTTTGCTTAATGCAGGTGTAAGGTRTGGTAGGCATAGCTACAGCAMTGCTCCTGCRCTGGCCTTGGTWAAATGAAAGTGACAATTCATCCTGACTTAGGTTTCTGTGCCCCCCTCCCTCCATCCTGGTGAGCAGTTCACTCCATAACAAATCAAATATGGCAGAATAGGACACRGCAGTTTCTTGTGGGTGTTGTGGAAGAACAGTAGCTTTAGGAGGTATTYAAATCAGGAAAGGGTAGAGGTCTTAGAGAGCAGCACTGGACTAGAGTTCTGCTAGCTGCTGTTGAAGTTAAGTGCTGGTGTGGGACATATAAAATGGGGATTGCATTAAATGCAATTAATCTAGATTTAATTGCAGGCAGAAAAAGAAGTTGTAACTACAAATACACATGACTGGCGACACATAATTCCACACAACAGGGATGCTACATGGTATGCTACATTTTTCTCCCACTTTTTATCTAGGTTTATTCACATCTCTGTGACTAATTAGAAAGAAGTAGTATAAAGGTTCAAAGCTATTTTACTGAAAGACACACTGCAAGTTTCAAAACCTTAAGCATCATTTCCAGAGTACTATTACTAACTTTTCAAGGGAGATGGGGAAAAGCACTTATTCGCTCTTCCCTCCCCTAACACTTCCCTCGCTTCCAAATAAAATACCGTGATTAATCCTGTCATCAGCTGCAACTGGAAACAATTATTGTCAGCAAATAATACCTTTGCTCACTCTGTTATTTTCCTCTCCTTTTGTTCTGCAGAGCCACAGAGTGTTTGCCTACCTTAAAGATGGCTCTGCTAATGCATAATGAAGTCTCTGCTGCATGTCATGCTGCAGCCTGACRATACAGAAGCAGTAGCTCTCTATCCTGAGAAATAAAATTTTGAGGCCAAAACCTACAGCAGCAGCTTCATGAGGTTAAAAAAAAAAAAAGAAACAAAGGAAAACATTTAGAAACTTAATGAGCTTTTCTAAATAAAGCCAGTGAGCACACTGGGCTTTATTCACCCAAAGTGCACCGCCAGACAAGTCCATGCGGTCGCAGTCACGCGGACTCCTCTCCCATTAGGCTTCAGCTGATCTTAGTGTCACAAGTCTCCTCTGCACCAGCCTGCGGCTTTCAGGTAATGAAATGCAGTGACTACAGGGAAGCACTGCTCAAAGGGAGAAGGAAGGAAGGGATTTATTCTGATGCCACAGGAGGAAACAGGATATGGACTGTGAACAAACACTGGAGTAAAACAGTGCCTAATGCTCTTTCATTTGGAGGAAAGAGCTTTGCCTCRTAATTTGCAGGAACTGGCATGTGTCTGCCTCCATGTGCTAAGGGAGCTGCTCCCTTCCAAGTCAGAGTCGCTGCATGGGGTGCACCCAAAGATCAATGTGTATGTTTGGGTATTTCAGCCTGATACCTAAGCACAATAAAAAATTAAGGGGTCTTAGTCTGCCACTAGCCTAATAAAACAAACATGAAAGCACAGGCACCTGGGCTAGAATGACAGGGCAACAAAAATTAATACATGTATGTTAGCTTTCCCTGCATGGAAAACCACTGAAGGGTACTTAAATGAAGCTTGGCTAGAAAGCTGATCCCAGAAGCAACAAACAGCAAAACACTTCACCATTCTGAGGAACCTGTCTTGTAATCACATAAAACTAATCATAGGGTCATTTGGTAACCAAAATGTTGCATAAAGAATAATGYCTGGCAWTGGCATTTGTCTCTTCCACATGTAATACCATAACAAGAATGAAAATTTCTCCATCCTGAACTGGAAGAGTGRGATAAAAAGGGAAGCAGTGAGTGGGAAACCCCCTACTTTTTAACTGTGTTCTACTTTCCATCTGCCTTAAACAAAGCACAGAAGCACAGGGAGTTCTSTATGGAGGTTACCCCTGCTCTTAAGTGGTGAGGACAACACAGAACCAGACATTTTTCTAGAGAGCTGGATTTACTTTGAGGAACAGAAAACTAGAGATGACAATCACCCACAGCATGAAGGAGCAAAAAAGGGTACCATCCCTTTTGTGTGCCGAGCAGTTCACTAAGCAGTACTACTCACCATGACACCTACACTGCACCTTTTCCTACAGAATACTATTTAAAAGGAAAGATCTACACACAGGGTAGTGCAAGCACTTGAGATTTTTTTTTCTCTGTGTTAAGTGAGTCACGTTAATGAGAGTGTTTGAGGGTCTCCCTGCCATGGAAATTTGTATCCTATATGTCCTCAAAAAGTTCATCAACTAATTTCCTCTCATGAATCCTTACACAGTCCTCAATGACTGCTACATTCTTCACAGAGATTCACATCATGGAATGACCTCAAGGAAGAAAAAGGCTTGTTCTGTTTGCAACAATGTCCCAAAAGCAGTGATGATGGGAAGAAATTAAAATACTGTTTCATGTTRCCAGCATCCTAGTTGACAAAGCCACACAGAGAGCACAGCTTTGGTTTTGCTTTGTGGCTCCAGCAGTTCCATAATGGTTCACGTTTTAAAAGGAAATGGGGAAGAATATTAAACTGCAAAAAGAAGACGATGTAATTACTTGTTCCTTTTTGTTCTATGCTTTCAAACAACATCCATCTCTATGATAGGAGGCACAACTGCTTAATATCCCACCATAAATTTTAAATTGACAAATAGCACTCTTTGCTAGAAACCACATCATGGAAAATGGCAAAAGGCTTGTATTATATACCTTACCATCAGTGGCAAATATTTCAATTACCATGGTGACATGCACATAGAATATAGCAGTAATTCTCTGAACAAAGGTCTTTTCCCAAATATGCATTCTCATCAGTCCTTTCAAATGCTAATACTTGTCTCTCTGGAAGAGCATTTTGTACACACAGCATGTTCCTAAAAAGTGACATGTTTTTGTTTAAGGTGATTTTGATACCAGTGAAAGGCATTAGATCACCTCCAGAAGAAAGAATTACTTTAAACCCACAGAAAGCAGRCAATGATCATTTCTCTTGCCTACCTTCTCCAGCTGACACCARGCAGAAGGGTGGTTCAGCTTCAAAAAAAATTCAGGTCAAAATACACATATTGTGACAGTCAATTTTATTTGACCACTGTGGACTTTTTTTTCGTGGTCGCTTTAAGAGAGACGCATATTCACTGACAGATGATTGGACTGAAATATTGTTTTTCTATTTCACAGAACTGAGGCAGTAACGGACTTTTTGCTCTTTTCTAATTGGACTTGGTGAAATCTGTAGCTGAATACCAAACCTTAAACCTGCTTGACCTTTCCATTCTTTCTTTAGTATTAATTCCATTTTAAGCTTCTCTCTTCACAKAGAAAAAAGAAAAGTCCAGATTCTGTTAATAGCCAGATTATTGGGACAGATAAAGAGCACAGTATGGGATACAATTGCAAAGGACATAAATAACACCTTCTAGTTAAAATAGTGAAAAG